CACCTTTGTGAGGAGAACAGGATAAACCAAAGCCTAAATGTCACTGATTTTCCACCACATAAGTTGTTCGTTATCAGTTTGATCATTCATAACTGCATACGATTTTACTGTGGTTGGCAATTTGTACTTCCCACCTGATCAGGTCTTAGACACAAAAGAAAACTCTGAAAAATGGGAGCACTCTTTATGGATTGTGCACGGCCCATGTCTGCAGTGGTTGCAGGAGTGAAGGAAGTAAAGAAGGAGGATGCTCCCACTTCACCAGGACTATAAATTTGAAGGCTTTCCTATTGAAATGGGGAATCTCTATTTTGCATATAGCTGGAAGAGTCTGTGCCAGGATCTGGGTAGGCAGAAGGGTACAGAAACCACCTTCGCCCTTCTTATGTAGCAGCGCTAGCTCAAACATGTATGATGCAGGAGGTTTGTTGTGGCATCATTCTGCATACAGATCTTGTACAGCTGTGAATGACCTTGTGTATGCACTGTAGGGTTAGAGTATCCATGTGGAGTATACCATAAAGTGCACACTGTATGTCACTGTTCTCAGCAGTGTTTCAGAATCCTTTGAGAATCTTGCTCAGTAGCCACTCTGCACATGTCCTGTGCAACTTCTATAAAATACTTGCCTGGATAGGGCTGGTGTTAGCAGGCGTCCCAAAATGTAGTCAAACACAGTATTTGTGCTGATTTTTATCAGCTGCTTCAGCACTGATTACTAGAATGAAGGCAAAGGGGATTAGAACAGCATCGGTACAGTTCTTCTGCAACTTTCTTAAATCTTAAACACTTCTTCTGTTTTATATGAATCTGAGGATAAGACCACCAAAGGCACGGACAGAGATCAGAGCAAATAACAGGTTTGGTGTTTTCTTGAGCTACGTGTTAGTGCTGAGCACTGTTCACCTGAAAAAGGGACTGGGTGTTGAGGACAGAACAAGATTCTTTCTGCTCACTGAAAATCCCTTCAGGATTCAAACTTCAGGGTTTGTTTGACAGTTGAATTCTTACATATTTTTAAAGTGGAAGAAATAAGTTATAAGAGATGTTAAGACAAATTCCCATTATGCTATCAGTGTTACAATAATGTTATTTTACTGAGAAGGCATTTTTAGAGTAACAACCTTTTTTGCATCAACATAAAGCATTTCTTCTACTTTTTTTTTTTTTTTAATTAGATGAAACAGCATCCACAAGGTGTTTATGCTCTATACAAATGAGGATTCATTCCTCATTTTCCTTTGCTTGGTCTTACACACTAACTTACAAACAAACAAACTAACAAACAAAAAAACTTTTTAGTATAAATCGTCAAATATGTAGGCTAAGAGATCCCGTTATCTGTTTGTTTCTCATTATTTAAAAGTATTGTGGCTTCAATTTTGTTTTAATATGGGAAGGAGGCATTCTGTGATACTTAATGAAAGAAGGAAATCAAATATATGCACAAAACTGTAGGCTTAAGAGAAGAATCTGTATGTCTGCTTAGGCAATGTTAGGCTTTTAAAAAAATTAATTTCCTTTTGGATAATCTGTTTTGTTACAATATTTCAGTGTGGAAAATGTTTGCTAGTAATTCAGTTCATGCTAATACCTTCACCTTAAAAAAGCCCCCACAACAATACAACTAAGAAAAAAGTCCCAACAATGACTCATTCTGGCAAATTATATGATGTAATGTGTGTTTGAAACACCAGTGATTTGTGTAAGATGCATGAAACATTCCCATTTTCCCTTTTTATTTGGAGTCCTGCTGGAAAATAACATTTAATCCATCTTCGTGTTTCTTTTTTATCGTGATGTTTTTGCCCAGTATATGCTGTTTTGTATTCTTGAACAAGAATTTCTTGTGGGCAGATTTGCTAAGTGTCTGCACCAGTTTCTGCTGGTACAGAGCCTCCTGGGTCAGGAAACTGCACTGGTGTGGAGGAATCTGCAGTCGCGGGGTTGCTCACTGTTTCCTAGAACCAAGCTGCGATTAATTGCACAACTGCATACTTGCTCAAAAGCATACTTTGGCTATAGGGGAAGAAAGAGAGAGAGTATTTTCAGTGGACGATTCCCTCAGTGAAGTTGCCAATCACTTTTGCTGTGCCTGTTCAACCCAGGCAGAAGTTTAAATCACTTTCTGTCATTGGACAGGATGAAGGAGGAGAGGAGGTGATACTTCTGTCTCAGGTGGAGCTTCGGCTGCTTTCAGGAATGCAGCTGGTGGCTGGCACAGTTGACTCTGTGGGGAATCATGTCCAGAAGGAAAATCTTCCTGCCCTGATAGGCAGGAAGAAAATACACTGTGCTGCTCTTTCTTGAGCCATTCCTCACTTAAAAGTAGATGTTGTTGTCCCAATAGTCACTGTGCATCAACATGTGTTCAGCATGTGTTCTTTTAAATGTCATTAAGTTGTGTTATGGTACAGCATCAGATACATCTGTTAAATGGAAAATGTACCATGTTTTGAGATTACTGTGTTTTTTCAGTTGTCTTGTTGATACTAACTCTGTTCCCAAACATCAGCAATGAGGATGAGGTAGTGTAGATGACCTGCCCATGCTTTCAGCACTGGGTTGATTAGTTCAGCATTGAACAGGGTTAGATAGCACATCTGTTAAAATGGCAATAGCAAACATCTTGCAAAAGTAAAGGCTCCTAGAGCGCTGTCCTTTGGAACTCAGTGGAAAACACTGCTGACAATGGAAGCAGGATTGAATCTCACACAACGCAGCACATCTTCTGTGAAGTGGTATGTCAATGGAAAGCTAATCCATTCCTTTCAGGTAACAAGAAAAGATGGAACCTTAGGATTCAGACATGGTTCAGTACTACAGATCACGATCAGGTGCAGTCATACTGTGCTTGTAGGGTAGATCAGACTTGTTACTCCACAGTGTAGTTGCAGCTGTGACTATTACATACTGTTACTTAATATATGTGTGCTGACCTGATGGCTCCTGGCTCATCTGGGATGTCTCTGTGCTAAACGTAAGCCTTTGTGGACCTCGTGTGAATACATTTTCAAGGAACACCTCAACTACAGCTGAAAATTATTAGCCCTGTGATAGTAATGAGATCATTGAAACAGGAGATGATGCTGTTGTGGTATGCCCAGCTGCTGGCTACTACTTGCTATCAGGTATGGAGCTTTGAGAACCATTGCATATGTATTTTTCCTATTTCCTAATATAGATATTCCTAATTCCTAATACTGTGAAGAGCCAGATGGTCATTCCAGCTAGTGGCTATTGCAGGAGAAGAGTCAGAGATCACTCTAACAGATTTGATCTGGTAGTTAGTTTATTGAGTTCTAATCAGTAAATTTAGGTATGTAAAATATTAAATAGGTACAGATGGTTTGGTGATTAATATTCTACTATTGACTACACTTAAATTTAGTATGGGGTACAAAATATATTGCATGAGCTTACTATATGTATCTTAAATGTTACATGCCTGCAGAAAATGTCACTTACCAAACCACTGATGCCTGCTATCAGGTAAGGGATCTCTCAGCCTCAGGGGTAACCTGTAAAGATGTCCCTATTCAAGGGGAGATCACACTGTACCACGGATGGAGAACTCAACAAACCCTGTTGGCTGTACGTAATTATGGTGTGAAGTGGTTGATTTGTAGCTGGGTTTTCTGCTGTTAATGCAGTTTTGGCTGTTTATGATCCCAATCTCCAGCCATAGCCATTTTTTGGGTTTGGTGCCAAGTTCTCATTGATAGCCCCACACAACAGGATTAACTTTGGTTTGGCCTGCTTGCTGAGCATCTGCCTGGACCCAAGTTCAGTTAGTTCAAACAGGAGGACTGCATCCAGCACTTTGTATCACAGAGATCTGCCCTGAGGGAGGCAAGGCGCCAGAGTACAAGGCAGAAAAGAGTCCTGTAGAATATTTTCCTGGGCTTGCCAGTGCACTGGGTCAGCATTGGTGCTGTTCTCACTGGGGTTCTCTGTGTGATTTGAGAGAAGTGTGCAAGTACTCGTCTATGCAGTTATTACAATTTTTTATTAAATGCTCCTTTAAAG